TTCGGATCGTCGAAGGATGAGCGTGGGTGGAATAGTACCAGGCCCCAGTCAGCAAATCGTGACCGAGAAGAAGTTTCCTATGCTCGAACGATATCGCACCGATCTCAGTGTGCTGCATGGGTTACCTACCAAGTTTTGGAGTGAACCAAGTGCTGATGGGTTTATGGTACGTGGACCACAATATCTAACCTCAAAAACGAAGGTGCCGTCGACGCGTCAAGCCTGTCGACTAGTGAACGTGGAGTTGTACAAGTCCAATGAGGCGATTGAACACATCGGAGTGTCATCTTTCGTTGGAGATGGTTTCGATACTACGGATTCTACCGTGGAAGATCATCCGTTTCTCTTCATTATCAACTTTATACTTCCTGGCACACCACATCACTCGGTGGTGCTGTATTTTACACCGGAAGATCCGTCCGAGTTGAAGAAAAATTCGGTGTTTGCTGATCTCTGTCATGAGGTGCTACGTGGGCCCAGCGACGAGCTCCGTACGCAGCGTATCAAGCTGATTCCGCGTGTGGTGCAAGGTACGTGGCCTATTCGCGAAGGAGTGGGTACTACGCCGGCCATTTTAGGCACCAAGATTTACCAGAAATACTATCAAGGCAAGAATTATCTTGAAGCGGACTACGACATCGGCAGCAGTACAGGTTGCCACAGGGGTGTTGAACCTTTTGCTGGGCTACTCTCGTGACCTGATTATCGACTTGGCCTTCGTCATTGAGGCTCAAAGTGTCATGGAACTACCTGAGCGCGTATTGGGCACTGTGCGTCTGGATTGTGTTGACTTGCGTCATGCAGTCCCATTTACGAAGAAAATGGGTAAAGACAAGAAAAAATAAGAGAATGTTACCCAAAATAAAAATGACAGAATCAGTAGCTTATTGCAACGTTTAGCGTATACTTTTTCTTACCAACATGACAGTTGATGCTGCTCCTCCAGCTAGGTGGGCGTTCCTGTATCCGTGGTGTCGATTGTTGCGTGGTAAATTGCACTTGGAAGGTCGTACAGCTGAGAACTCAGCGCGATGGGAGTATCACTGGGTGGCGGTGAGGTTGCCACATTCGCATGAAAAGGCTGATGTCAACGCTCTCCAACGGATTCGAGAAGCTCTGGATTTGCTTTCTCGAGTTGCCATTGTAGACAATGCAGCATGGCGAGCGCTGTTGGTGCAACAGTGTCGCGTTCCGAGGGATGAAGATGATCAACCGCTCGATTGCGACTTGCACCCGCGATTCCGTTTTGTGTTTAACGAGAAGTTCGTGGAACCTGGTGCTTTGTCGCCAGATGCAGTATGTAAACAATTTCTCATCGTGACAAGTGCACAACGCGCAAGTAACGACTATTTGGAAGCTAGACGAGCTTTGACAGAGCTGGAAGTGACGTTGGGGAAGAATGTTGGTAAAGTGAAGACAATCCCGTTTGAGCTACAGTTCGAGCTCCTGACGCTGCCTGATGAGATACTGGAGACGCATTTGCGTGATCTCAACTCGATGCTTGGGATTCTCCATACAAGTGACGACAGTTCTAGCGGCTTGTTGCCTCTGGAGCTCGATTCGATTCGCTTGGACGTGGGAGGATTGAACATGTCTTGGTCTTTATCGCAGAGGTTGACGAATCTACTGAACTCGGGACTACCTTTCTCACTGTTTGCGTTCTCGTTGAAGAAAACTACATCTGAGAGCTACATGCTAGTGCAAGAAATTATCGGCCGGTTCTTACGTTCAGTGCTGTGTGTTGTCGGTGCTGAGCAACGTGGCATTCATACACTATCTGTCGGTTGCCATGACTGCGATGAAAGGCAATTTGCGGCTTTGTGTTCTGCACTTGGCTCTACCTCATTTACAAAGCATCTCCGACTGTACGGAGTCTTTGGCACGTCCGATACGGAAGAGATGAGAAGGTGGAAATGGCAGTGGCTTACGTATGCACTTTTCAGGACAACCACAGACTCAACAGTTGAACGAGCGCTTATCACAGCAGCCCAATTGACAAGGGAAGACACTTTAGCTATCGCTGTAGCCATCCACGCGAACTCTCCTCCAACTGCTGGGTTAAGCAACATCACCATCGAGGAAAACATGATGATTTTTCGTGACTGGAGACACAACACTGTTGGCCACTTTCTCGAAGGCACCGACTTTGTGGTAATTCATCATGACCAAGAAAATGCTGGTGACGGTCACTTACTCACCGTTTTTCTGGAAACAGACTCCTGGCTTCATATTATGAGCGACGAAGGTGATCATTTCGACGTGGTATTGCCAGGATATGGCATAGCTCGAGCCGATAAGCAGCCAATCGAGTAGCGATTAGCATCAACGGATACCTCTACTCACGGCTTGAAGGCTCTGACGCTCGCTTTGGGTCTTCACTTCGGTGATGATGGCGGTGAAGTACTCACGGACTTTTTAAACCTTATTGGAGCCCCGTTACAGTCCCTCGCGCTGTACTCCGTTGGATCGTATCCGATCAGTATGGCTTGCATCACCCAAGCATGTCCTCAATTAACAGACTTGTTTCTCGAAGGTATCCAACTCATAAACTCAAGGGATTTCTGTCTCGATGTCGAACAAACTAAAGCGAAGCTGAAGTGTTTGGGGTCTCGTGAACGTATTTACGTCCAACGAGCAGATCACGCGTCTCATTGAAGCCATCGCGTCGCCTTCGAGCCAAATAGCTCAACACTTGTCCGAGGCTCGGGTTTGTCCGGCTCTGAGACGTCCTGTACTATTGAACAACGCCAATGTCCTCCCCCTTGCTGAACCATGTTGAGGGAGAAATCGCAAATTATTCGTATCCAAGTCTCGGGGATGGAACCCAGAAGGGCCGAACAAGTACGACGGAGACATTCCGCACCACATCCTAGGCGAAGCCATTGCGAGGGTGCAGGGTATAAGGAGCACATTTTC